GCATCCAGAGAGGACTCACTCCAAGTGTGGTCCCTATGAGACCTTCTGATTGGTACTCCTGCCTGTATCTGCCCCAACTTCTGTCCGTCCCAGCTTGGTTCTTCCCCTGTTGTTTGAATTCTGTGAATACTTCATCCTCTTCTCATGTATTCCTTTTTGTTTGAAGTTAGGAAAGTTCATTTTCTCTTGCTTGCAACCCAAGAACTTAACTGGAACACTAAGGAATTGAGTCAGGCTAGGGGTGGCTCTCCTCATGCCTTCCTTTATAAAAACAAGGTGTGCCTGCTCCTTAAGCCACCATGCACACGAGCAGAGCTATCCTGCTTTAATAGCAATGTCAGAAATGAATTAAGGTGCCAGGCACAGTAACTCAAGCTGGAATCCCAGTTACTCTGGAAGTGGAGATCAGGAGGATTGTAGTTGAGGCTAGTTGGGGCAAACAGTCCACAACCGGTAAAATCTGGGCATGACGGCTTCTGACTGTCATTCTAGCCATGTGGGGGGAAGCAAAAATAGGAGGACTGTGCTCCAAGCTGGCCTGAGAAATAAAGCGAGACCCTATCTCAAAAATAATTGACCTAAAAGGGGCTGGTGAAGTGGTTCATGTGGTACAGCACCTGCTTAGCAAGTATGAGGCCCTTTGAGTTCAACCCCCAGTACAGGAGGAAAGGAAGGGAGGGAAGGAAGGGAGGGAAAAAAAGTGAATTAAGGCTTGGTGCAGAACACATGCTGTGCCCAGAGGAGAAAACTGCCTGGCTTGCATGCTGGAGTATCCAACTGTCTTAATCAGGGCTGCTATGACAAAGTACCATAGATAGGGGGTTCTAAACAACACGCATTTATTTCTTAGAGTTCAGGAGCTGGAAGTTTGAGATTACAGTGCCAGCAGAGTCTTGTTTTGGTGAGGGCCCTTTTCTGGATTAGCAGGTGACATCTCACATACCAAACAGAAGCAAGGTCTCTCAGGACTCTCGTAAGAGCACTAATCCTCAGGAAATAATCACCTCCCCAAGGCCACACCTCCTAAAACTATCACCTTGGGAGTTAGGATTTTAAGGTACAAATTTGGAGACAAAAACATTCAATCTACAGCACCCAGTAAGCTTCATGGGTTGAAAATTGGTGCAGGTGGAGGTGGTGGTGGGGAGGTGGGTGCAACCAGCCTCTAGGATTGTAACAGAATAGTGTTTCACAATGCTGGAATGACGCTGGGCAGTACATGCCCCCTCCTCTGAGAGGAGGGCACTGGTAGTGATAGTGAGAGGTCACTGTCCTCTCATTATCACTACCCATTGAATCAGACATGTCTCCTTTCCTTATATACACTGTCTGCACCTCACAGCTGATTTCTTCCTATCTGTATTGCCACTGTGTTCTCTTTGCCAGAAAGTAAGAGAGAGCACACGCACGCACACAGCTTCTCTGCTGTATTCATCCCTGCTCTCTCACAGCTGGAGTATAGCCAGGAAACTTCTAAATTACAAACACACCATGCAAGGAAAGAAATCTCTTTCTAGGGAGGGTACACCCAATGGACAAGTCTCCTGCAGCTTGTTCAGACCCCAATGGGGAAACCTTAATACCCAGGAAATGTTGAGGTAAATTAAGTAGCTGTCTCCCACAAGTTTAGAGCTAATGTGAGCCATATTTCAGGAGGACACTAGCAATATCCCGCCACTTTGATCCGAGTGGAGGGCATTGACTCTACTCCATGCCAGCTTTCTAGTTTACACACACTAACTAGACCCTCGTGATTTCAGCTATGAGGAATAAGGACACCACCAAAAGGTTTCCAGCCCCTTTTTTCTCTCAGGAGGCACCTTCACACTCAGTTCACTGGCCTGAACACAAGTCACTTGTGCTAGCCCTGACAACAGAAAGGGAATGAACTTTGGAATCAGGCTACGTCAAGTCAGATCTCAGCTGTACCAGAAGCTGATCCCCTTGGCAGGAGCTGTTAAACCTGTCAGCCTAAGAGATAATGCTTGTGGATTAAACACCCAGTCCCAGGACTGTAACAAAAACCTCACCTTGGTTTGTTGCACACGTGGTATATGATGTGATAGGCAGTAGTCACTGAGATAACTGCACTCAGGGTTGGTCTAAGACCATGGCAATCTCCTCGCTGCCCTTATCACTCCCCTTCCTGCTTGGAATCTATATCACTAAAGGTTTTCTACATTTAAGAACTCTGCCTCCAGGAAAAAAAAAAGAAATCACCTTTAAAATACAAATGTTAGCTTGGAAGGAAAAGCACACTCTGCAGAATCTGTCCTTTTCCCATCTCCCATCTCAGTCACTTAATGGTGATTCGTTAATACAGGTGACAGGGACCCTCAACACTCTCTGCCTCCTCTCTTTTTCCCTCTCCTCTCTCCAGGGTCCACAGGGACCTCCCTACTTTGCCTTCAATCATTACCTAAACATCAATAGTACCCAAATTTCCTTCTCCAACTCAGGAAGCTGCTGAGCTCCAGACCCTCAGACCTACTTTCTTACTTAAAATTTCCTCATGTACATTCCCCCCAGGAACCCTAATTTTCCCTCCTCATCTCCCTTGCCCCAAGTTTGGTTCTTCTCAAGTGTTTCTGGTCTTAGAGAATGGTTCTGTCCTCCATCTAACTTGGCCAAGACAGAAAGTTTGGAGCCATTTGACACCTCTCTCTTTGTATAGGCAGTCCTCCTCAAATCCTGCTAATTCCTCCTCCCAAATACCTCTCACATCCATCCATTTCTCTCTCTTCTACTGTCATATCTCTCAACTCAACTGACATCCCCTCAACCCTAAAAGACCACCTTAGTTCTTCTGTGCCCACCCCAGTCAATTCTCCAACACAATCAATGGATCTTCAAAACACAGATCTTGTCATATATTCTATAGCCTAATACTACAGAGTGGCTTCTCACTGCTACCAAGATAATGATCCAAATCCCGTGGAGCTCTTTTGGAACTACCCATACCCTTTCCTCCTACCCCTTGAAGTTCATCTAAGACCAATGCTCTCCACCCCAGAACCTCCACACTGGTCCTCCTATTCCCTGAACTCCTCAAGGCCATGGTAAACTCAGTTCCCTCCATCTGAACCTCCACCCTCACCTCTCACCTCCTATTACACCCAGCTAACTACTGTTTCTCCCAGGTTGATTCTCTGTTGCTTATTCAAGGAAGCCTCCACTAGCTTCTCAATCAAGTCAGGTTCCCAGCTGCAGTAACTCAACACCATGTACTTTTCGTTATTGGTATTCAGCACAAACTATCACCGTACACGTATTGAGTATATTGACCGTGGGTGACTGGAGTCTACCTCCCTGCTCAGAGCAGAGATCACATCCCATTGCCCACTCTATAATCTTGGGCACCCACATTAAACACTCATTTGCTTAGCATACATTTATTGCAGTTCTATCATGTGCCAGAAATCATGCCTTACTTTCTCCAACTTATGTAACCTAAGAGCTTCTGTAGGATTTCACCACATGGAACAATAAATTCCCGAGTAGATTTGCAAGGCACATGAAATGAGACAACCAGTTAAGATGATGCCAAGTGAGGAGGCCCAGAGCAGGGCAGAGCGCCACAAAGAGATGCTGGGTTCACAGGTGAGTCGCAAGCAGGCTTGGGCAGATTCCAGAGGGTAGCACCAGGTGAGGAATGGAGAATCAGATTGTTAGAGCTTGGTAAGATATAGGAAAGAATGGAAAATAACAAGGTTAACTGTCAACTCCACAATGTTTCCAAAAGGCTTTACTGAATGTCCCAGTCATCCAACAGAGAAATGACCCAAGAGGACTCCAGAAAGAGAACAAAACTTCACAGAGTGACTTTCTATCTTGCCTCCTACCCTCCCGGCTCTCCTACTCCTGCCAAACTGTGAGGAATCAGCCACCAGCCCCAGGTGCTGAATTATTCAATTATTCTAGCAGCTTTCAAAACACATGTGCATCGAGAAACTTCCGAAAAGAGAAAAATCCTGTTATTTAGGCTACTGGGTCATTTTTTGATCCTCTCATGAATTCTCTGTTTGCCACATAATTGTTTTTCAATTAAACGGTAGCTCACTGATACCCCACCCTCACTAGCAAAGAGCAATGGCACACGTATAATCACCAACAATCTGCTGCTCACTCTTCAGTTACAAACAGGCACATGACCTCCTGTGCCTGCACAGCAGCCCCCAGGCTCCTAGGGTCACCCAGAGCTGAGGTCTGCTGCAGCACCTGGAACAAATACTGATCATGGTGGCAGAGGATCTGAGGAACGACTTCCAACAGCCACCATCCCCGGGCAAATACAGCACCCAACCTGCCTTATTTCAGTATAAAAAAAAAAATTCTACCTTCTAACCTCTGTCACAATGCTAAAATTACTAAAATAATCTGTCTGCACTTGGATCTAGAAACCCCTCCTAACACCTCACCCACAGCCCACCCACCCGCCACACGTCAGTTCTCTGAGATATTTTCTCCCAGTACAACAAATCAAAGAGGGTGTTTTAGGGGAAAAGGAAAACTAGTCACGAAACAGGCCCGTCAGACTCCATTTTAGTACAGGGTTTCTTCAGCCCTCTATTTCTGGCTTTGAAGGAGCAGAGCACGACAATTAAGTAGGTAAAAAAGGCAAGTACTTGCCAGAGGTGACTTTTAACCTGAGTCAATGACAAAACTCCTTGAAGTGAATGACACTTTTCATTTATAAATCTGAGCCACAAAGTTTCAGGCACTGTCCTCTATCTCAAATAGAGCTCCCAGAGAGGACAGTAACAGACAAAGGGTAGATTCAGGTCACCTTGCAAATAGTCACCTGCCCACACCAATGTGCATCAGCCACACGACAGGATGGGTGGATGTCCGGAAATAAGAAAACATCTGCTATCCACACAACGTGTTTCAAGGCCTGTGCTCCGCCATCATCCCCTTCCCCAAGAGCCTCCCAGGATGCCAGTCAGAGGAAGAGAAAGCACATGGTCAACTCCTCCTTCTTCCCTTCCACTTATCCTTACCATTCCTCCACCTGTTGAGCTCCAACTCCAGATGCTGGATGACATTTTTCAAGGTCTTGTTCTTCTCTTTCTCTTTTTCATATTTCTTCTTCCATTCTTCTGCTGTCAGTTCCAAGTTCACAGAGACTGTATTCTTGATGGTCTTAGCTCTGGGATTAAAAAAACAGGGGAGAAATGCTGAGAATGGCTAGTGGCATTCACTGATTCAATATAACAAGCTTCAGATTCCTTTTACAAGCAAAAACTGGAACTGGGAGAGCACAGGATCCCACAACTGGCACCTACCACCTTTCTAGCTGGTGCTACTTCTTGCAGCTCCAAACTCATCCTCTTTTCTCCTTCACATCTCGTCAGTCTCTCAATCCAATAGACTTTTATTCAAATTGTCTTTCAGGGTCCCCTCTGTCTCAGTTCTCTCTGCCACTGTCTCACTCTATGTTCTCAGTCTCCCCACAAGATGAGAGCTTTTTCCCAAAGTTCAGCATCCTCCTGCATACCACTGCTAAATTCATCTTCCTGGGTGGCTCTTTTCAGTTCAGCAAACACTTATGAAACACCAGGGACACAGCAAGACAAATGGGCAAGGTCTCTGGCCTCTTGAAGCTGGGGGTTTCTTATACCAACAACACAAAATGGAACATCAGTTTTTTTCTCTTATTCCTCCCTTTGGTACCTAAAACCACCCTTGATATGTTGAACACATGTCAACCCATGTCTCACAGGTTAATTGGGTCACATAACTTGAGTGAGGCTGACCAGGGGACAGCATGGCTCCCTGCTGAGCATACACACACACACACACCACACACACACACACACAAACACACACCACACACACACACACACACACAAACACACCACACACACACACACACACACACACAACCACCATCTCATTTTTCTAAAATAAATAAATACTTTTAAAATTTCTATTTCCCAATTTAAAAAATTTTTTTAAAATAATGCACGATGCAAACATGTCGAATGGGCACCATTTTGCCACTTCTAGTACAAGATGTGCCATGATCTCCTGGGGTATATGCTCAGGGGGTATGATGCTATGGGGACGGTGTGTGGACAGTAACCCAAGGGAGCACTGACAGTAGCAAATCAATACCTCACTAGGTGGCAGTACAAACAAAAGGCAGGAGTCACCTAGGCAGGCAGAGTTAACACACAAGCAGCCAAGTCACATTAAAAAGTGAATCCTCATGGAAGAATTCCACTTACCATTATTTTTTAAGAAGGTAAAACACCATGGAAAAATATGTGGCATCATTTTATTTGCTATACTTTTTCATTTTAAAATCCAAACAGTGCTTGCACTATCATATTTACCAGCACAATCTGATGTGTGATCCAGGTTAATTACTGCCGTAATCAAATGACATTTGGGACATAATTTCTATTTCAGTGCAAGAAATCAGCGCTACAGATGTCATTCCAAAAATTAATTCCAAAAGCAGACAACTAAATAACCCACCTGTCAAAAGAGTAGTTAAATGACTTCAATGTAAGACTCAGTAAGGAATTCATGTAATTCTCATTCACAGTAGCTTCAGGCTGCTGTCCCCAGAAGTGCTTCAACTCTACTTTTTTAAATAGCAGCAGTTTTATTAGTACTTTAAAGTCTGTTCCAGTTTTACACTCACCTTACCTTCTAATGTCCTCAGGCAGTGCTGTGGATGTTTCTTACATACAAGCACAAACAGGGCAGCATCCATTACCAACTTAGTAAGTCAAAAAGTGAGAAATAACTCATGACTGAAATGCTTGTTGTCATTTAAGGGTACACTTTGAAAGTACTAATCTTACTTTTTAAATCATAAAAAGTCCCTTGATGATTCCAAATGATACCAGAAGGAGAAAGATTGTGCCTCTATGCTACAATCAGGCAGGTTTAGCAGAGGCACATTGTGCAAGCAGACCTGGCAAGGATATAGGCAGTGCACAACCAATCCTGCTTCCCAAAGGTCTTCTAACAGCTGCCCAAAATACCCTTTTCCTTCTATTTCTGTAGCAATCAGGATCCTGGCAGGAAACCAACGACCTGGTCAAATTGCCTAACATGGAGAGTGTTTAACAAAAATACGGAACGGTCCTTAGACATAACAAGGGACAGCGTGGTACCCCACATTAATGATAGGCTGAAGGGGGTCCAGAAGGCGAGAGCTAGGAAAGAAAGACTGCTTGGTGGAAACTGTAGAAGCCATTCCAGAAGGACCCTGCAGAGAGAAACCAGTAAATAAATACCCTACCCTCACTCTCTTCTCTCCTGATCACCTCTCTGTGTTCCTTCCCCACCGGCTGAACCTAACTGGTCAGAGGCCAGGGAACCCTGCAGCAGTCCAAACCAGGGATCTTCCAGGGTGCAGAGCAGGGCAGAGATGGCACAGAAAAGAATGAGAGGAGAAGACAGAAAATTCGCAACCCAAAGCCCATTTGAAGTGCACACAACAGTGGAAAACCACATCTCACACTGGATCTCTAGATGCCATTCAGCCCCGAATGGTGCAGGGGGCATTCCTTTACATCTCCTAAAGGCAGAAATTGAAGAAATCAGCTAACACTGATAGGGAAGGATGCTAACTCTTCCAAAACTATTATGCAGATTTAAATAGTATCCCCCCACCCCCAAATCCTAGACAGTGTGTATATGTCAATTGGCAAACTGATTGTAAAATTTATAATAGAAATGAAAAATGCTAATATAGCAAGGACAGTTTTGAGGAGCAAAGTAAGAGAACTGAATATCAATACTTATTAAGTCACAGTAATTAAAACTTATTACATAGTTAGATATTTGGGAATAGAAACAGAATGGATTATCCAGAAATAAGATACTCAGACATAGAGTCACTTGATTCATGACAAAGTACTCACACAGAACAGTGGTGTATAATACTAAGGTTCAGTACCACACAAAATATTCTATTCCAGAGGGATCATAGGGTAAAACAATAAAACTTAAAAACAAACAGAGGACAATATCTTGAAGACCTTAGGTTAGGCAAAGAGTTCTTAAATAGGACATAAAAGAAAAAATAAATTTGACTTCACTAAAATTAAAAGCTCTCTTCATTAAAAGACACCGTTAAGAGAGTTAAAAGTAAGTCATAAAGAGGGAGAAGACAGATGAAGTACATATACCTGACAAAGGACTTACCCGGGATAACTCCCATAAATCAACTTTTAAAAACTAGGGAAAGACTTACAGGCATTTCATAAAAGAAGTGCCAATAAAACACTGCCAAAAAAGGTGTTTAGCACCATTAACCATCAGGGAAATGATAATTAAAACCACAGTGAGATGCCATTAAACATCCAAAAGAACAGCTAAAAAATTTTAAACTGTTGAGGGGGACAGTGACTGTAACACTGAGCTGCTAATGAAGGAAGTGTGAATCATTACTACCAATTTGGAAAAGTGTTTGATAGTATCCACTAAAGCTGAGTATTTCACACACTATGACCCAGAAATTCTGCTCTACCCAACAGATATGAGTACATATGTTCACCCAAAAGTTTGACAACCAATGTCATAGTAACTTCATAATAGCCCTGAAATGAAGATAATCCAAATTTCTACCACAGTAGAATGAATATACTAAATTCAAACAGAATACTATACAACTGTGAAAAATAAACTACTATACCTAACAATGCAGATACAATGATGCATGAAAGAAGCTATATACAGTACTGTGTGGTCTCATTTATAAACAGTTTATGACAGGCAATACTAATCCATATTGATCCAAGTCAGGATGCAGTTCCTCTTGAAAGTTGGGTATCAACTAAGAGGATGCAAGAAGAGGCATCTAAGCTACTAGGAGGTGGGCACGTGTGTGTGCATTTGTAAGCATTTATAAATTGTGCACTTAGGTTTATGCTTTTCACTAGCTGCATGTTATAGTCAATAACAACATGTTAAGGAAAATAAACTGAGGTAGAAAGGAATCACATCAACACAAAATCTCCAGATTATGAAATAAATTGAGAGACATACTGAATTTCTGTGTCCAGATGGTTTTCTTTTTTTTTCTTTGGCAGTACTGGGGTTTGAACTCAGAGCCTCAAGCAGAAGGTTTTGCTTATTAGAACAAATATTCTCCTATCTAGGATGTTGAAGGCAATCTCGCAAAGTAAAATAAAGAGGGTCCCTGTCCGTCATTTCCCTAAGAGACTTGGAGCAAAGGGATGTAGACTGACTATAATCTCTCCTCCTTTTACAATGAACTTAAGCAAATTTAGAGAATAAAGGAATCTGATGCTCTTTGGCTCCTACCTAATCGACACACACATGTACTTTCTTCCTTCGTAGATATTCAGCTAGCTGCTGTCAGTGTAGGTTTGTTTTATTTTGGCTTTTGCCTTGTATACTTTAGAGCAAGTCAAAAAGCTTTTGTTTCTCAGGTCTCTTTTTTTTTTTTTTTTTTGGTCTTTTTTATCTCTCTTTTTAAATTTTTTTTCCTAGCTCTTTTACTTTGGTATTTTCCACATACTTTCTGCCTGTAATCACAATAAACACCAGTACACTGAAACTCTCAACATGGATCTTAGGGTCTTGTGCACAGGTCACGTATGTGACTTTACTACTCAGTCTGGTTTCCAAAAGAATTTCAGATGGCTCATGAGGGACATAAACACAAGACAGCAGAAATTAAGAAATGCTCCTGAGGCAGTTTCTGTAATTTTGTCTAGATGAAGGTCAGGCGTTGCTCAGCAACAGGACACATTCTGAGAATTGCATCACTGCGCGAACATCAGTGTGCATGCTTAGAGACTAAGTAGCTACGATGTCACTAGGTCACATAATCTCATGGTACCGCTATTGTATACATCGTCTATCTTTGACCAAAGTATTGTTGTGAACACTATACAGCAACAGCAATATGGCCAGGCGGCTCTAGGACACTTTCTCCTTGATCCAGGAAAACAAGCCTTCTTCAGTCACTTACTTATTGCTCATACCGACTACTGGGAGACCATCTAATTATCCCAAATAACCAAATCATTCACAAAGGAGCACAGAAAGGTCTGGAGTCTTCATTCTAAAACTCTCAGGTTACAATCAAAGTCCCATATGTATACACAGATATATATGTTAATACCACACGTTAGAACCAAAGCAGGTACTCAGCAAAAT